TTATAAGGTTTAAAGGGAAGTCGAGAGCAATATTATTGGGTGATAAAGTGCTAGAGATAAGACTTAAAGCGTCGTGCCCCACTTTAAAATACCAGGTAGCATACCAAAGCTGTGGAATAGATTCTTCTAATGCATCAATGCGTATCGATGCATTTAGGTTACATATTGATGTACTGTATTATTGTGCACTTTTTATTAATGAAAAATAAAAGTTTTTTTTTACATATTACAGACCAGGTAAATGCTTTTTTTGCACGTCCTTTGGAAGAAAGTAGCATCTATCTATTGCAGTTTTACTTGTTTTTTTTATATTTAAAAAAAAAAATCACAAATGAGTAAATAAAGTCCAGGATTTACTTGATGTTACAAAGTTCAAAAAGCCACAAAAAAGATCTCAGTGTTACACAAAGCACACAAAAGACCTATTTGGATGGGACTAATTTTACTGGGGATGTTAGAGAAATTTGTGTTTCACGGAAGTACATTGTGTCTCATCCAAATCTGCCATGTTTGCCTTTTTTTCACACAACCTCTGTAAAAATTCTAGAGCAAATTACTTAGTGTTTTTTAGCAAACTTGGCAGTCCTATGAAAAAACGAATCCCGTCTGAATGCATTTTTTTTTTTTTGGTCAATGTGAACTAGTGCTGCACTATATTAGAAAAATTTTGACAGTGCGATATTTTGCCACGGTATATATTAAAATAAAAATACAATTTCAGATTAATTGATTAGCTCTATTTGAAAGAATTCATACATTTAGCTTGATTTGGGATGATCAAGTCTTTTTCTATTAGCAAATCATGATAAATTGCAAGCATATATAAACACAACAGTACAAAAATAAAAATATTCTAACAGTAGTCTAACAGTATTCAGGTACAGAAATTGAACAATCAAACATAAAAACACATGGTTATCATTGTATAAATTTTTTTAAAATAATAATATATTTATCCTTTAATCTTTAACAAATAATCTAATCCTGTGTTGTGACTTTTGCGGATTCACACATTGCGATATCGATGCTCAAACGATATATTGTGCAGTCCTAATGTGAACTACCCTACAATCTTAGCCTCAGGTCTCTGCTTTCTGCAGTAATAATGGATGTAAATGTGTTCGCCACCCTGCAAATAAAAATTAGATCAACAAAAGGAGCCAAATAATGTAAATTGTTAAGATGTGCTAATGTAATATCAGTTTCAGGTATGAGTGTTTATTTCTGCAGGCAATTACCTAATGTGAAATGTATTTAAGTTAAAACGTATTTATTACAGTTGGATTATGATAGGAAGTTCTAAAAAACTATTTTGATATAATTTTGTTACATTATTAAGTTTTTAATAACTTTTCTAAAATGTTTAAACATTAAACAAGTTAACATGTTTTACTTTACATGACTATATGCAATTCACGCATCCTGAACACGTGGTCTTGTACAATATAAACATGCATAAAAAACATGGGAATGTTGGTCCCCTTCAAATCTATACATGAATTGACAGACGTCGCCTGAGAAGAACTGACACTCAAACATTAATTGGAAAACTAAAGTCTCATTCAAATAGGAATAAAGATGCCTCGTAGACAGCATGCAGTCCTGAATTCAATTCTCTTAAGTGCTGAATTCTACTTGAATAGTCAGAAACACATTACATGCCAATGATATTTGCCTCTAAACATTGTCAGTTATATGAATGAAGGTAAGCAGTTGGGGAAAAATCTGATGATTTTTACTAATGAATATATAATAACAAAAATATAATCTGCTCGTTATAATTATTCATAAAATAATTGAAGCAAAATATTAATTGTGATGCATCAATAATAAATCACAATTGAATTAAATGGTATGGCAAGTGCATATTCACATCTCTGTAAAAATGTTGTGGTCCACAGAATTTCTTCATGTTGTATTAACACAAATCAATTAATTTACGTTAAAAAAATTATTCAGAAAAAACTAACACTATTTCACTACAAATTACATATCATTATCTTTGTTGTTGTGAAGTAAAAAAGTGAAGTGAAAGAAAATAATGATAATAAAAAAGAAAAAACTGAAATTAATAATGATAATAATAATAATATTAATAATAAGGGGAAAAGAAAAATGTAAACAAGAGTAATAAAAGTGTACAGAAAAAATTACAACCAACTGAATGCAGACATTCAGCAATCGCAAACAAATGTTCAGATACTTTGTCAATGTTGAAAGTATTTTTTACAATTAAACAGTATAAGGTAATAACAGTGCAAAAACAAACAAAAATCAAATTACTACGACATAAACTAAAAAGGAAATAGAGTGCATCTATTAAGGCTAGATGTTCAGAGAGTTAAAGTAAGTTATAAAACATTGCCCCTTTTTAAAGAAATTAGTTTTCCCAGAGCATCTAACCTTAGTAAATGCATGGTATCCACAAGCCATTGGGATGTAGTTGGAGGCTTATTTGATTTCCAGTAAGGTAGAATATGACATCTAGCTAATAATGAGGTAAAGCTAAAACAAACAAATCTATTAATTAACTAATTGTTTTTACAAATTTAAGTTATTTGAACATAAAAAAAATTAAGTTATCCCACAAAAACCATCAAGTATTGTGTTGATTCAGCTCTTTATAAATTGTGGTTTGAAGCAGCAAAAACATTTTTTTTTTGATTGGTGGGTATTTGAGGCAAATTGTATACGGCAAAAACTGATTATTCTATTTTGTGTATGGATTTGCTTGCACAAAACTATACATTTTAACTCTATGGTTGAAACTCCTAATATATTTGAACCCAAGGTACAGTGTCCATGTCCATTCTGGGGAAATCCGGGTGTTTTCCTGGCACTCAGGTCTGTCCTAATTCTCTGTCCTGTTGTGACTCATGTCTCTGTAATTAGAAAGAAGCTTTGAAAGCCTGAGCAGTACATTTTTTTCACATGCGCTTTAGTCTGTCTGTTTTAAATCAGTCAGACATTATTTAGATATAGAATTACTTCATTACTTGGCAAGCATTTTTCGCTTATGCAACCTACAGTAGCAGAGTGTACTGTTTGCATAAGCTGGCAAGTGCACAATAAAAATGCTTGAGCACAAGAACAAATCATTCCTCCTTATACAAACCTGAAGTTTAGAGTGTCTTTATATTTTAATAATAATAATTATTATTTTTTAAATAATAATAATAATAATAATTTTCTGTAATTTTGCTTTTGTTTACCAGTAAGAAAAATCTAAAACTTTGTTTAAAAAAAATCAAATGCTGGTTGGCACCAAGGACAAACAATTGTTCTGAATAAAAAAAGCCACACCACAATGATAATGACAATGGCACTGGGAAAGAACATTTTTGTCCCACTGATAAATATAAATATCGTTGATGGCCAATCAGAAACCAATGTTTAAAAAAAAAAAAAAAAAAAAAAGCTTGAGTATTTAGAACTGCTGTGCACTTATGATAAACAACAAATGTGTCGCTGTGGAAACTAATATGATTTTTATAGTTATCATTTATTTTATAATTATAATTTTTTATGTAAATGGACATACCTTAAATTAGGTTAAATTAGTTTATGACCAGTTGTTTATTTGTTATAATTATTTATATTTACCCAGAAAAATACTTTGGTTATTGACAGAAACTGATGTGCCAGGAGTTTTTAGATTTAGATTTTAGCTGCTTTTTTTTTTCAAAATTTAATTTGTTTTATTTTAGCTTCAAAGAGTGCCATGCTTATCTATTTATTTATTTATTTGTTCAGTGAAGAAGCTTATACTTTCTTTGAGCAAGGACTGGGCATTAACTGGTCCAAAAATACAATAAAGGCATGATATAAATAATTTAAGATTCAAATGAAACCTTATTCATTCATTAATAATTTATGGAGTAGTTATTACTGCACTGAAAAAAATCCTGGTTGTCCTAATTTTTATGCCGAATCAAATTAACCTTATGAGTCTATTGAACTTTTTTAAACTGACTAAATTAAATCATGACTAATTTATCATATCATTTTTTGCAGTGTGACAAATCAGCTGTGCCAATAAATAAAACAAATTTACATATATTTAAACAGTTAACAACTATTTTTTAAAGTTGTAATAAGTTTAAAATATAGAAAAAAATCACAATATTACTTTGGCCTTCTTTGTTGCTTTTTCAAAAGCATAATGTTTTACTGAACCCAAACATCTAATGGAATAATAAAAACATCTTAAAATAATACAAAAACACTAAAACAAAAGAAAGAAAAAATAAACAAACACTTGTTCCAATCAGTCATGATTTAAATGTTCTCTACACAGTAAAATCTGGTATCAATTGACATCAATAGTAGGAAAAAATATTATGCAAGTCAACAGTTTCTAACATTCTTCAAAATATCCTCTGTGTTCAACAGAAAAACAAAACTCAAATTAGAAACAATCGGAGGATGAGCATATCCACCAAAACACTTATATAATTCAATGCAAATGCAATTTCACACACAAACACACACACACACACAAACAAACGCTTGTGCAGGCTTTCTCAGTTTGCTTCACCATGCCATTGCATTACTTGTGTTCTTATTTGCCTGCATCCATGAGTACTTAAAATGCACAATGCTGATATTTTTGTACTACTTTCAAAGAGCTGCCAATGTTATAGGTCAGATAAAGCTAAGGGGTGTAAGCGTGTGTGGGGCAGCATGGCAGCGCTGCGTCACGTTCAGAGAGAGCGCAGGAGAGGAAGGGAGGGCAGGAGGGATGGACAGTTGCTCAAAAGCTGATTGTACTGGCTGGCTTTCCTATCAGGGCAGCTCACACGCATCCAAATCCCAGATTAAACACCCCCACCTCTCTTTCCAACCAGCAGCACTCCTACAAGTCCCTGCCCCCCTCTCTCTCTCTCTTTCTCTCTCTTCCTCCTTGTGTAACTGTACTGAGCGTGGATTACCAAACTCTGAAGCAAAGCAGGGGCTCTGACAGGCTCCCAACAGAATGGTGAGGTAGGCATTAGTCGCTGTTATCGCTTCGCATCCAGACTATGCCATTTCCATAGCCGAATTTCACGTGCGATTGCATTACGTAGTTCTTTTAGCATCGCTGCTTGTGCAGGATCATACGTGCGTGTGCGTGCACTTTTGCAGGATGGTTTGTGGTTTGTTGCGGTTGTGTTTGTATGTGTGTTGAGCTACTACAGAGCTCAGAGAGGCTTACGTGTGACCTGGAGCCGGGTGCCTGAAAAGTCTGCATCTCCACAGACCTGTTTGAGTCATGAAGGAAGACCCTTAGTCACCAGAGAACCAAACACTGTAAGAGTTAAAACAGACTCTCTGTTGGTCCAGATGGTGTTGGCTGTTATGGTCAGTCTTTATTTTTGTCATCGCGCAATTGGGGTGTTCTTGTTATCTCTTTCCTTTAGATTCAGATTTTTTTTTTGTAAAAAGCTGAGAAAAAAGGAAGGTTATGAGGTCAGATTAAACCCACTATCATTGTTTTATGAAAATACATAACAGCTTAGCTGGGATTAGTGTCACCTGCTGTTTCACAGTATGCAAAGTTAAGATTTCATTTGTTTTTTTCAGATGACCACAAATCCTACTATACATGTAATCTACTGAGATGGTTGCCAAATACTGACATGTGTCATTCTTGGGTTTTTTGTAACACTGCAAAAAAAAATGCTTTTCTTAATTAGATTTTTTGCCTTTTTTTAGTCCAAATATCTAAAGACTCTTTAATCAAGAAGAATTTTCTAGACAAGCAAAACATACTGTCTTGATTTCAGCAATTAATATGCCAAAATGAAGTAAGTTTTTAATTAAAAAAGTAAAATAATCTACCAATAGGGTAAGCAAAATAATCAAGTTTCCCCATCGGGAGGAGAACTTCAATGCTATGTAGAAACACTTCCACTATGGGGATTTCGTCAGAATTCAGTTATCTGAAAGAGTATAAAATCGGGCCTATGAAATGCCAATGAATTGGCAGCGTCAGTGTGCATCAATGTGTGTCATCAATGACTATTAATTTGGCATATAAGCACAGCTTGTGCTCAACTGAGGCATCCTTTTCTAGCTGAAGAGGGTTTCACTCCCAACAGCTAAGGGACAATCATGTGGCGAAGGAACATAGCATTTCTGTCCCCCCCCACCCATCCACCCCCTTCTTCGGGGGACAAGGGTTACTTTAGTAACCATTGCGTTTTCCTTTTGACATAAGATTATTTTTCTTACCCCACTGGCAGATTATTTTGCTTGTTTGAAGAAAAAACATACTTTATTTTAGCATATAATTTCTAAAAACAAAACATATGTTTTGCTTGTCTAAAAAAATCTTTTTGATTTAAGAATATTTAGGTATTTGGATTAGAAACAAGACAAAAAAATCTAAGTAAGAAAAGCATTTTTTGCCTTGTATTTATTATTCGTGTTTTAGAAATATTTGTTTTCCCAAAGAAATACATACAAGTGTACATTGTATACATGTGTTTTTTGGGATATTGGGTTGCATCGTTTTCCCTATTCATTGCAAAATTTTAAATGTTAAATATTCTTCACCAGAATATTCTGTTCCTTTGCTTTAATGTTGCATAATGATTTAGAGCCCATGAATGATCAGCTAATGTGTGATGACATGTTTATCTGCACAGCACAGACCACGGCTAGTGCTGTATCTCTTTCAGTTCTTCATGACATGTAGGACATGTTTAGGATACTGGGTGTTTTACAGAAATGTGTTTTTACTTTCATTCTAGAAAATCAGCTGTAGTTACAAAACTTGCCGGTTGAAATAATTAAATAAATTTAATTTGGATGTCATGCAGGATTTAATTATGTTAAAGTACTTAGTTTTATATTTAATACAATGTCATTTGAGCAATAACTTCAAATTATTATGAATAATCATATGCCTTTTTGCATAATTTACAAAATACAACTACAAAACCCCATAAATCTTGGAGAAGAACCATTTGATGATGCATTAAAAGATCACAATGCAGTCACACAATGCTAATGATATTTTACTTTTTTAGTTTGTAGTATTTTTTTTATTATTTTAAATATAACAAAATGTATGATCATTTATTATTTGATATACTTTTATAAGTTCAGGTCAGAAAAAAATTAAGTTGCATCATTTTTTAAATAGCTATGTTACACTGGATGATAATTAAACATTATTCCAGACACTTTGGCTGTTAATTTAAAAAATTTACATGAAACAAAAGTAGACCGTGTAATTGCTTTTCATATGTGTTCTATTTAAAACTGCTTGCTACATTTCTTTTCTTTTGCACGGGTCTTTGACCAACAGTACAGGCATATACAGTTGAAGTCAGAATTATTAGCCCCCCTGTTTATTTTTTTCCCTAATTTCTGTTTAACGGAGATATTTTTTTCAACACATTTCCAAACATAACAGTTTTAATACCTCATTTCCAATAACTAATTTATTATATCTTTGCCATGATGACAGTAAATAATATTTGACTAGATATTTTCAACACACTTCTATGCAGCTTAAAGTGACATTAAAAGGCTTAGGTTAATTAGGTTAACTAGGCAGATTAGGGTAGTTAGGCAAGTTATTGTATTGTATTGTATTGTATATTGTACAATGGTTTTTTTTAAGACAGTCGAAAGAAAATTAGCTTAAAGGGGCTAATAATTTTGACCCTAAAGGGGTTCTTAAAAAAATAAAAAATGCTTTCATTCTAGCAGTAATAAAACAAATAAGACTTTTTCCAGAAGAAAAATTATTATCAGACATATTGTGAAAATTTCCTTGCTCTGTTAAACAAACATCATTTAGAAAATATTTAAAAAAGGCTAATAATTCTGACTTTAATTGTGTGTGTGTGTGTGTGTGTATACATATATATATATATATATATATATATATATATATATATATATATATATATATATATATATATATATATATATATATATATATATATGTATGTATGTATGTATGTATGTATGTATGTATGTATGTATGTATGTATGTATGTATGTATGTATGTATGTATATATATATATATATATATGTGTGTGTGTGTGTGTGTGTGTGTGTGTGTGTGTGTGTGTGTGTGTGTGTGTGTGTGTGTGTGTGTGTGTGTGTACTCAACATAAATAAGTACACCCCTCACAAATCTTTCATTTAAATTTATATCTTCTATTAGATGCTTTACAATATTATATGTGTGCATATACATTAGATTAGACAGTACTTAAGTCAAATCTGGGGCTAATTTAACAAAATAACTAGTAAAACAGTCCAAAATGACTAGTCCAAATGTATATGTTGGAGAAAAAAAAGAAAAGAAAAAAAAAGTTGTTTAGTTTAGTTAAAATTTAGTTGTTTGTTATTCTTTTAAAAAATATTTTATATTAAATGCATCATCTTTCTATTTCTATAGATGTTCAGTGATTAAAATAGTGTTTTAATAAATATGTCAGGTTAATGAATTAGTTTTGTTCAAATGCACTAATATATTTACTGAGAAATGGATACAAATATTTATTTTCAAAATGTGCTGTACTCATTTATGCTGAGCACTGTCTTTTTATTTTTAGCCTGAATTATGTGGTTTTTATTGTTTGAAATTCAGTAATTTGTGTTTAAATACAACTGTGTTTCCAGGACATACAGTACTTGCTAGAGCTTGCCTTTCCGAAAGTCGTTGTCAGGAGGAAAAGTGCTGACAGAAATGTCAATGAATTATTAATTCAAATGCATTTGAATATTTTGGCTTCGGTGGCGAACTTGACAAAAGACCGGGAAGTTAGTGACCGTGCATAGTGATGATGTGACAGGAGGGGAAAATGCAGTAGATTTGACAAACATAGAATCAGTATGTGATGGTGAGCGTTGCCCTTTCTAAACAGTGAAACAGACATTAGTCATGCTTACAGGTAGCTTTAAAGCGTCAGGTTTATCACACTTCCTTTGCGGTGAGAAGAACTGCAGGAAATGCAGTGATGCTTTGCTAACTTTCCATAGAAAGATGGAGGGGAACATAATGCTTAGAGTTTAGACTCACAGTATCAGGGTAAAACGTTATGTGCACAGCTGTTCATTAAGACCTCTGGTTTTAAATACAAGTTAATCTTTCCACAGCATATGAGGCACGCTGTGGAAAACTTTGAGCTGTTTGCAGTTATTCACCACTGGACTCAATAATGAGGATGAACTGATGGCCTGCGTACTGTGTATTATAATGCTTTATATGTATTATAACATCATTTATACATCATTATATATGTATTATAACATCAATATAGGATTATTATTATTATTTGAGAACAAAATGTGTACATTGTTATAATGTTTGGAGTAACTTTATATTATGTTCTTAAAATCTTTTGGGGTGAAACATTTAATATAAGTAGTTTATAATTGAATAAGTACACTAAATGTAAATCCTATGGTTTCTCTCAAAGAATCTTGGGAAAATTTCCTTGCTGTTGGTATTGCAGAAGAACAATTGGAAGATATTTTTAAATTGGTCCACTCCTCCTCTATATGCATCAGATATGTCCTGATGCAATTTAAGGTGCTCCTTATAACTAATGCCAAATTAGCAAATGTTTTCTTGATAGAAGTGATGCCTGTCATCACTGTAGTCTCCTGCCATTTATCTTCATATTTTCTGGAGTTGCCCTCAATTGACAAATTTCTGGTCCATTGTATTTGATACACTTAATTGAAGCTATTAACATAAATCTAGACCCTAACCCAGGGGTGGCCAACCCTGTTCCTGGAGAGCCACCTTTCTGCAGATTTAAGTTGCAAACCATATCAAACACACCTGAACCAATTAACTAGGACCTGAACACCACGTGATAATTACAGACAGGTGTGTTTGATATGGGTTGCAACTGAAATATGCAGGAAAGTGGCTCTCCAGGAACAGGATTGGCCACCCCTGCCCTTACCCCTTGACAGCCCCTTTTTGGTATTTCAGCAAGAGTTGACTTGACTGTTAAATCTCACCAGGTTATTGCTTTTTCTACTCTTTTAGCTGGACGAGCCATTCTTATCTAATGGAAACAGTTGATTTCTCCATCACATGATATGTGGATCAGAGAAATCTTTAGATGCATAAAACGTAAGGAAATTAAGATGTTTACTTTTCATCTCTTTAATCTTTTTACAAGTCCTGGAATCCAGTTTCAGACTATATCAAAGGCTTACCCTGTTCAGTTGATATCAGTTCTAATACACAGTAAATAATTGAAAAGAGGAAATATTGACTCCTTTATGCAGACTTTTCTTATTTTTTTATTTTCTTTCCTTTTCTTTA